GGGTTATTAACGAAGTTCGTGTACTCAGACCAGTAATATTTGGGGTCACAAGTTTTTGCCATGGATATTTTGTGGGTCAGAAGATAAAAAGTTTGAAAGTTTGGGAACCACTGACCTACAGTGCTGTAAAAATGTTTTGCCCTTTACAGATTACTTTTTTTWAAATCACATTAAATGTTTCAGATCAGCAAATACATGGCGATACCAAACAAAAAATAACCAGAGTAAATACAAAATGCCTTTCTCACATTGTGATTTTATTCATTAAGCATAACAAAACAAAACAAAAAAATCCTTATCAAACACTGCAGGCACCACTAGGCCATTAGTGCAGTGTAGCATGAAAATATTGTACAGGTCAGTCACCAAGATCTTTGTTAAACTTCAGCTTGTTTCACATTTTAGATAATTACTTTTAGTAATTGTTCATATTATTTATTACATACTGCTGGTAATGATAGTAAATTAAATCTTAGTTGAACCTGGTCCAGTCTCCAGGTCTACCCTGAGAACCCAGAAGAGTGCACACAACCACAATGAAACCAAACAAGTGTTTCAGTCTCTGAAAACAACCTTAAAAGGTCAGCACATCATAAGTAGCATTAAAATATAATAATAATAATAATAATAATAATTCAACCCTGAGAAAAATCAAAGGTTCCAGCATACATAATTGTGATATTTAACAGCTAAATCCTTTCTTTTTTTTAATATGTGACCAAGTTTGGCACATATGTAAAGGAGCAGCAGAAAATATACCTCAGAGGCAAATAGGTTTTACAATGTGAATTTCTGCAGAAAATGTTTCACAAAACTGCAAACACAGCAACAATTCCTTATAAGGCCATGTTTTGTTTTTACATTCTGCATTACTGCATTTTTACAAGAATACATCTATTGTTTCCAGTGTCTCGAGAACATGTGCAAATTAAACAAATGTAAAGCACCAAATAAAAATAAAAGGATTTCCTCAAATTTCAAGTCATAATTAAAGCAGCGGACCAGCAAGTGCTCRTGAAGCGACATCAAAAGAAGTAAGTTTGCACAAAAGGACTTGTGGTCCCAGTGTAAACAGGGCTGTAGTTGTATATCAGGGCTTTGTTCTCGTCCTCCTTAGATTCAAATCTGTGAAAGTTCTTCCTGGCTGCAGGGAGAGGAAATGATATGAGTTTTACAAATGAAACTTCAATACAGCAGCTGCACATGCAATATTAGGACAACTAACTAGTTTTGTTTTCATACCTTCACTGAYAAAAAACTCAGCCATGTAGAAGGTTGTCCTCACTGCTGATGGGGAATGAGGATTATAGGACTTGGACCATTCAAAGGCATTTTTCTCTGGATGCCACTGTGTCCCATAGATCGGGTAATCATAAGCTGAACAGAGGAACAATAGTAATGTAATTTTGCTGTGAACTTTACTACATCAATTAGGCATTTCTGCTTTTAACTACCTTCCACTGTTGAGACAAACTCTGTGTTCCCATCTGTATTTGTAGAGAGGACCTTGTAAAATGTCCTCAGTTCTTCATTTGTGTTGTAAGTCTGGAGGGAAAAAAAGCAAACAATAATAAATAAAACTATTGTTTTTTTATTATTTTATTTTGTTTAAAAGGCAGCAATCTTTATCACCCTGATGTTAGTTCTGATAATAAGAAAAAAAAAGGTTTTCTCATCATGTCAAGTATGAATAACRTACCAACATCCCCAAACTCCACTGGTGAGAGTTTTCAGTAAGAGGCTCTGATGACAGAGCTGCCATGAGTTCAGCTGGAATGTTTTTAAAAATCCTGCTGGTTTGGACATCTGAAGAAGAAACACATTGTGGTTATTAACAATTAAAAGAAATTTTGAAATCATATTTGAGTTAATTTATATATATTCAATTCAAAAATACTTTATTGATCCCAGAGGGAAATTAGGTGTTGTTGTAACTCATTTAACTAAAAACTTATTGTAGATGCTGATGGCTGTGGGCAGAATAGATCTTCTGTGGCGTCTGTATTACAGCGAAGTTGAAGAAGCCTCTGACTGAAGACAC